CTCCGCCGCCGCCGTAACCTCCTCCGCCTCCGCCATAGCCTCCCCCGCCGCCTCCGTGCCCGTGGTGGCCTCCGCCAAAGTGGAAGAAGTTCTCTACGCCGACTTCATTCTCTTCCTTCTTGGCCTCTACATGAAGAGAAACAAAAGGGTGATGGAAATTAGTAGCTAACGCAGCAAAGCAAGTTTCTTAGCCTAATGACGAGAGCAATTAATTTAACTCCTGCCAGTTCAAAACTACTCCGAGGAGGTAGTGCATTAGCTCACCAGGGTGCTCATCAGTCGAGGCTACGAGGATAGGAGCAGCGGCAAGCAGGAGAGCGAACACAAGAAGACCCTTGCTGGACGCCATGCTTGGCATCCGTGATCCGTGCCTCTTCTTCAGTGGTCGTAGTGGCTACTGGCTGGCCAGTGTGATGGATGAGATACAGACTAGCATGCTGAGCAGGCGAATTTATAGGCGGGGGAAGGCCGAAGGAGGGCTTGGATACGATAGATAGCTCGGGATCACGAGGAGCTGTGAGCCTGTGACTGTGAGCGAGCTGAAGTTGGGTCCCATGGCCATGGCGTCGTCGTCGGCCCGTGGAGCGGAGGTGGGTGGGAGAAGGACGGCACGCATTAATGATCGATCCCAGCAATCTAGCACGAAAGTGGCTAAGGCTGGTCATAGTGGGAGTAACATAAGTAGTAACATAGATGCCACATAAGCAAAAATGATGATGTGGCAAGTAGTTAATGAGGAGAGAGGCAAATAGAGTAACATAATATGTTACCATCACATAGCGGTTTCCAATGCATAATGAGTCTACAAAGTAATAAATGAAGGCAACTATGTTACCACACCTATGACACTACCCACTATGAAGGTAGTAACATAGACTAGTAACATATGTATGTTACTAGTCTAAGTTACTCCCCACTATGACCAGCCTAAGCTCCGCATCGTCCGCAGGAGCACCAATGGCGCCAGCTTCTTCCCTCTCACGCCGAGCATATTCTGGATCGGATGTCTTCTTCTGCATGTGTAGTGCGCGCTGCGCATGCAGGGTGGGTGCTGCTCGCGCGACGCCAAGATAAAGTTTGCATGCGCGCATCAATCTCATTAATCACTGCTGAACGTTCGCACGTAAGTTACCCACGGGCGCATGTGTATCCAAATCGGCCGAGCGGATTCTGGATCGGATATATTCTTCTTCATCTGGTAACCGAGACGTGGAGCACTGCTGAACGTTCCCACGTAAGTTATCTTCGATTCGGTTAGAGCGTCTCCAACAGAACTCCCAGTAAATTAAAATGGTTTTACGAGATGCCCATATAACTTAGGGGAATGAGGTGATTTCTCAATACATCTTCCCCCCTAAGTTAAAGTGATATTTTTGCGACAGTGGCGCCGGACAACGGGCGCCGGTGGTCGGCGGCAGCGGCGGCTCAATGGGTATGGGGATGACGCACTGACATGACACTTTTACGGGAAGGGCCTCTTCCCCTAAAAGTGGGTTTTGGCTCCGGCGGCGGCGGTCAGCAGGGCGACACGGCGTCGATGACCGGCAGCGGCAGCGCGGAGGTCATCAGCGGCGATGCAGTGGGTATGGCGACGACGCGTTGACGTGGTACAGGATCGGTCATCTTCCCCTAAATATACAAGAGAAGTTGGACAGATTATACGAGATCCCGTAAAAAAATCGTGTTTACAGAATCTGTTGGAGCATTTTTTTGCGGGAGATACTTTTGATCTATTCATAATCAATCATGGCAGCAGAGAGAACACCCGAGGTAATAAAAGTAGGGAAAAGTATATTTTTCGTCCTTGAACTTTCGTGATAGTTTAGAAATCGTCCCTCAACTTTAAAACCACGAAAACTCAGTCCCTCAACTATCAAAACCAGATATGTTTCGTTCCTTAGGTGGTTTTAGTATGATGTGGATCCGGTTTTGATTAAAACTGGCCATGTGGCCTGGTTTTATGACATAGCATTCCCTGGGCCGTCAATCTTGGCGACTTGGCCTCAGTGTTGGTCGGCAGGAGGCCGGCCGCGCCGCATCGGCGGCTCTCCTCGGCCTAGTCTGTAGACTGGCTACACAACCAAGGCTAGGTCTTGTCGTGCCTCACTGGAAAAATCAAGAGATGCCGCAAATGGGCCACGCACACTTAGCTGGGCCACCAAGCACAACCGAGCTAGCAGGCAGCGACCCAAACTCGTCGTTGACGCACACGCAAGACACGAACGCCCAGCGCCCAGCCCTACTAGCTAGCGCTGCCGATCCTGTGCAGTTGAGCGCACAACAGAACGTGCGTGCATGGGAGGAGGAGGTCCTAAAGACGTGTGCCAAGTCCTGCATGATGCGATCCTAGCAGCGGGGGTTCAGGTGTCGTGGCGGAGATCTCCTCGATGGTGGCGACAATCCGCGGATTGGAGGTGTCAGCAGGGAAGGATTGGAGGATCACGAGCAGAGGCCGTCGGCGGAGTAGAGGAGATTGGTAAGAGATCGCGATTGGTGAAAGCGAGGACGGGGTGGGCGTCGGCGACCTGCTTGGCGATCTCGGGGGCGGCGTTGAGCAGGTTGGTAGTGGTGACTGACAGAGGCAAGCGCCCCCACTCTGGAAGTGGATCGAGTTGGGGTAAAAACCAGGCCACGTGGCCAGTTTAATCAAAACCGGTTTCACATCAAACTGAAACCACTTGAAGGGACGAAACTTATCCGGTTTAAATAGTTGAGGGACTTAGCTTTAGTGGTTTTAAAGTTGAGGGACGATTTCTAAACTATCACGAAAGTCCAAGGACGAAAAATATACTTATCCCATAAAAGTAATACAAACATGCTCATGTACCACCTAGCAATGACTACCAGAGTGAGCTGAAGGCCGAAACTGAAGCAACGCCCAAAATGGCCCAATTTGACAGAAAAATGAGCCCAGTTCGGAATGAAGGCCTCAGCAGGCCCGGAAACTGTTATTAAAAAAAAGCAGGCACGGAAACAGGACAGGAAGTACTACTAGAGTAACAGTCCACACACATGTTTAGTTGTGTTCAAAAAAAAAAAAAACATGTTTAGTTCAGCAAAGATTTCAGTAGAAAAGACAGAAGGTGAAGTCAGTGAGGTGTCTCCAGATACTACACCACAGGCGGGAGAGGAGGCTGTGGTGCAATATCAACCAAATCAATATCACTAGATCAATCATGGAGTATATTTTCATATTAGATTGATGCAAATTTGCAGACGTAAACATTTTTCGCACGCAGAAAAGTAACAATCTCTTACAAGAACCAGTGTGAAATGAAATTGCCCATCCATCGTTTTTGACCACTGACAGCAAAGTTTCTTACATTCGGCCATAGATCAAACAGCAATGCTCTTTCTCTTTTCTTTTCTTTTTTTGAAAAGGGCAAAAGACAATGTTCTTGATTGCCAGCGACATAACTTGCTTGCCTTCCATCATAACTAAGATGGCCAATGCAGCCCTGGATACAAATTGCAGATGTCAAACATCCTCGTCTGTGGTTAACACTGAAATTCACTGCACTGTGATCTTTCTAATTCTTCCTCAACCAGAACGATGATTCAGATTGAAAAATATATCAACCAATGGAGAGATGCCAAGCCTTGACCAGTTTAACCCCTCACAAGCACAAGGCCCAACTCATACACTAAGAATTTGCTTTGGGACATGCGAGGGAATGTGCAAGTTGGTGCTCAAGGTTAGCGAATCAGCAGAGAGAAACCAGCCATTATCCCAGCACTACCTGGCCACGCAGGCATCCACTTAACTGATGGAGTAATCTGGTGAGAAACATCTTGTCTTTTGGTACATCCTCCTGTATATGGTCGCTCCTTCGAGCTCAGCATGGATTTCCCTCTCCGTCCGTATTCCCATAGGGTTGTCCAGAAGCCAACCTTCTTTGTCACACTGAAGATCTTTATCAATACGATCAGCATGCTCAAACACATCCGAGTATCCATCAAACCTTTCTCTCATGTCTGTAGCTACATCAAGCACATCTGATTGTACAAACACCTATGAACGAAATAAAGTGAGATGTCAACTTGCAAAAGAGTACTTGACCTGCCTTTGAAAGTTAAACTCCCTACATAATCAACACAAGCCTTCATCGAAGATACAGAAAAGAGATTGTCTGTAACGCTCTTATATTTCTTTACGGAGGGAGTATCACTCTATGACACATATAATGCATAGAGGCTGTGCAATTACTGTCATTGAACCAATAATAACTAAGAATATAGTCCAACTGACAACATGAAGGCAAGACTAAGCTTGAAACATACAAATGAGCTCATAGAGATGTTGAAATTAAGCTAGATGTTCATGGTTAATATATCCTCAATCTGATGTACTTTAGGATCCCTCAAGAACATTGTTCTGTTTAAGACTATTTTTAAATGATGCCTTCATACAGATAGAACTAACAAAATAGTGATTGACCTAAGTTAAACAGTCATTGGACAAAGCTGAAGCATACAGGAGGACCCTGACCGCATGCAGATTGTTAGTTTAATAGATAATACTTTGCATGAAAATCGTAGACAACTGTCATACCCGCCCACCCAGACAAAGGTTCTTTGTGATTGAATCCACCAATGGTGTCTGTAAAACTCTTCTCTTGTGATGCCTTTTCTTAAAGTGAGGATCAGGACACTGCAGAAAAGATGATTGCGCCTCAGCTGTCAATTCCATAACATCGACTAAAACGAAAAACTAAGCCAGCATAAGCACAAGGACATATCGTATACAACTTAGAACACTTGTGGAACGGTGCTCAGCTACACTCACCAGTATTGAAACAAGTGATAGGGGACCAGGGTATGATGACACAATTTGCTCGAAAGACACCGTTGCATTTGCAAACATAAAGTAACTGTGCCAAGGGAGCAATTTCAAGTACTGTTAAATTTCTCTGATAGCATGAAGTCCTCAAATGTTCACATGTGAGAAAGATCCAATGTATATCTTACACATTTCTAAGCCCCAATTCTGTCACCCAGAACTGTGTCCGCTCGACCAGCTAGACAAACAAAACAAGCAGAGCATTATGACCACACCAAAAATCACACATTGAGAACCATGATTAAACAAACCATAGAAGCACAAGAACCTTCTGCCGGATTTCCATTCCGAGGTAATTCCGCCTTTCACCGGAGTTCTTCGCTAACCAAACCAAGAATCTCCCACTCCCTGCACATGAAAAAAAAAATCCCCTAATAACTGAGGCTAAAGGAAATCTATCAGCACAATGGGGATGCAATGGAAGGAGACATGTGCCCACCGCAGCCGATGTCGACCATGAGGGGCAGCCGGGGATCCTCGAACACCTCCGTCCATTCAGGCGGCTCCGTGGGCTCCTGCAGGCAGAGCAGAGTAAGAATCGACGGAAGGGGACGAGACCGCGTCGGTGTTCGCCGTCGGGATCTTGAAGATTGTGGTACAGGCTTACGACGAACAAGGCGCTGAGCGGATTCACGTGCTGCCGGATGCGAAGGTGATGGCCCCGCTGCATACACCAAAACAGATTTGTGGGTGGTCAGGCTCGTGCGCTATTTGGAAAAAGAGACGGAGGTTGAAGACGGGGAGGATAGGTGGGGTTGGGGCGGACATTGGGGTAGAGGGGGCGGAGATTGAGGTCCGCGTACTCCCTGTCCACCGCGTCGGTGCTCCGCGCGGCGGAGCACAAGGTCCGGCGCCGAGCGCGGCGACGGACGGGGGGCGCGCGGACGAGGCGGCAGCACAGGGAGACCGCCGGCGTCCAAGCCATTCTGGCGTCGGCTCCAGCTGGTGCTTCAGCGGCGGCGCTGCCTGTTCGACACAGCCGAAGGGGTTATCTTTTTTTCTTTTTTATTAGTTGGCGAAGGGTTATCAAGAAAAAAAAAGGCGTGGAAATGTTCGAGGAAATTATTTTTAGGGAAAGCAGAGAGCTTTTTTTATTGCGTATAAAAGCTATGGTTACTACTCACAGTAGAAGGACAATTTTTGTCAAATACCACCTCCGAACCAAAATATTTAAGTCTAGCAAAACGTCTTATATTTCGATACGAATGGTGTACATGAAAAATACTAGTCGGCGCACTTGCCAAAAGGAAAGAATCTTCAAATTTTCTGGCGTGAGCTCCCAAAGCGTGTGCCCTCCATTGCTCTTTTTTTTCAAACAAATACACTTAGTTTAGCCTTTATTTCCTCCATGCTGCATCTTGTTTAAAGATTCATCCAATGGAATCCCAACTCCCTTTCTTTTGGATATACTTTTCTAAACTATACTATGAATCTAATCTTTTAAAGAAAAAAAAATCTCTTCACAAGAATTTTAGAACTTAGAATTTATTACCCTAGAAAAAAAACCCTAATCCTTTGAATCTTTGGTATCCTTCAAATCTTCACTAACAATCTTCCTCAAAACGCAACTCTCGAAGCTGCTAAGAACAATTCTACTATTCCAGTTTCCCCTCTCGCTAGGATCCATATCCTCTCGGCGCCCATCGTCGATGGCGCGTTGAGTCCCCCTCCTCCAATCCCACGGTTGTCCCGTCACTCGGGGTGAACAAGGGGCACTCTTGTAGTGTCGCCAGCCTTGGTTTAACGCTCGTGTTGGTTAGGGTTTCCCCATGTTTTGTTCTCGGGATAGGGATCATGGCGACAGAACCATTGAACTCGGTTCGAAAGTTCAGGACGATTTGTAAGCGATGATGCAGGTGCTTGGCTTGGCTGATGAGGACCTTGATGATGTCGTTTTTGAGTCGGAAGAACCATCACCGATAGAAGCAACTCGTTGGCTAGCTATTGCACGAGTAAACACAGATGAAGAGTGTAGTAAATTATGATTATATAAAAACATGAGATTGGCATGGGACCTCACTCCAACTCAGGTCATTGAATGAAAATCTATACAAAATGCAATAGTCTTGCCTAGGGAAATGAGAGAAAGTCATGGAAAAAAGGACTTTGGACCAATAGGGGATTTGATGTCATTCTTGTGCTATACCAAAAAGGCTTTCGCCCCGCTTTATAGATAAAGCAAACCACCACAAGCACAGAGTTCAACACAAGTTCACACGCACAAAGGGTAGCACCACACGAATTACGAAAGGGTGTCTGCTGAGGGCACAACTCAACAAGCCCTGAAAATAAAACAAAGACGGTAGCACCGCAAGAGGATAAGCTAATCCGGCTCAGGTGGTGGAGGAGGGAGCGGCGGCTGTTGGGGAATGTAGTAATTTCAAAAAAATTCTTACGCACACGCAAGATCATGGTGATGCATAGCAACGAGAGGGAAGAGACCGAAAGCGGAAGCGTTAGCACAACGCGGTTGATGTAGTCGTACGTCTTCACGATCCGACCGATCCAAGTACCGAACGTACGGCACCTCCGAGTTCAGCACACGTTCAGCTCGATGACGTCCCACGAACTCCGATCCAGCAAAGCTTTGCGGGAGAGTTTCGTCAGCACGACGGCGTGATGACGGTGTCGATGATGCTACCGATGCAGGGCTTTGCCTAAGCACCGCTACGATATTACCGAGGTGGAATATGGTGGAGGGGGCACCGTACACGGCTGGGAGAGATCAACAGATCAACTTGTGTGTCTAGAGGTGCCCCCTTGCCCCCGTATATAAAGGAGCAAGGGGGGAGGCGGACGGCCAGGAGGAGGGCGCGCCCAGGGGGGAGTCCTACTCCCACTGGGAGTAGGACTCCTCCTTTCCTTGTAGGAGTAGGAGAAGAGAAGGAAGGGAGAGAGGAGAGGAAGGAAAGGGGGGGGGGCGTCCCCTCCTTGTCCAATTCAGACTAGAGGGGGAGGGGGCGCGCGGCCTGCCCTGGCCGCCCCTCCTCTTCTCCACTAGGGCCCATGAGGCCCAATAAACCCCCAGGGGGGTTCCAGTAACCCCCCGGTACTCCGATAAATGTCTCGAAACCTCCCGAAACACTTCCGGTGTCCGAACATAGTCATCCACTATATCAATCTTTACGTCTCGACCATTTCGAGACTCCATGTCATGTCCGTGATCATATCCGGGACTCTGGACTACCTTCGGTACATCAAAACACAAAAACTCATAATACCGATCGTCACCGAACTTTAAGCGTGCGGACCATACGGGTTCGAGAACTATGTAGACATGACCGAGACACGTCTCAGGTCAATAACCAATAGTGGAACCTGGATGCTCATATTGGTTCCCACATATTCTACGAAGATCTTTATCGGTCAAACCGCATAACTACATACGTTGTTCCCTTTGTCATCGGTATGTTACTTGCCCGAGATTCGATCGTCGGTATCTCAATACCTAGTTCAATCTCGTTACCGGCAAGTCTCTTTACTCGTTATGTAATGCATCATTCCGCAACTAACTCATTAGTCACATTGCTTGCAAGGCTTATAGTGATGTGCATTACTGAGAGGGCCCAGAGATACCTCTCCGACAATCGGAGTGACAAATCCTAATCTCAAAATACGCCAACTCAACAAGTACCTTCGGAGACACCTGTAGAGCTCCTTTATAATCACCCAGTTACGTTGTGACGTTTGGTAGCACACAAAGTGTTCCTCTGGTAAACGGGAGTTGCATAATCTCATAGTCATAGGACATGTATGTCATGAAGAAAGCAATAGCAACATACTAAACGATCAAGTGCTAAGCTAACGGAATGGGTCAAGTCAATCACATCATTCTCCTAATGATGTGATCCCGTTAATCAAATGACAACTCATGTCTATGGCTAGGAAACTCAACCATCTTTGATCAACGAGCTAGTTAAGTAGAGGCATACTGGTGACACTATGTTTGTCTATGTATTCACACATGTATTATGTTTCCGGTTAATACAATTCTAGCATGAATAATAAACATTTATCATGATATGAGGAAATAAATAATAACTTTATTATTGCCTCTAGGGCATATTTCCTTCCGCGGCGCCAAGCGAAGAGCCATCGCGCAAGTGTTGGGGGACGTAGTAATTTCAAAAAATTTCCTACGCACACGCAAGATCATGGTGATGGCATAGCAACGAGAGGGGAGAGTGTTGTCCACGTACCCTCGTAGACCGTAAGCGGAAGCGTTATGACAATGTGGTTGATGTAGTCGTACGTCTTCACGATCCGACCGATCCAAGTACCGAACATATGGCACATCCGAGTTCAGCACACGTTCAGCTCGATAACGATCCCCGGGCTCCGATCCAGCAAAGCTTTGGGGATGAGTTCCTTCAGCACGACGGCGTGGTGACGATGATGATGCTCTACCGGCGCAGGGCTTCGCCTAAACTCCGCGACGATATGACCGAGGTGGAATATGGTGGAGGGGGGCACCGCACACGGCTAAGGAGTGATCCGTAGATCAACTTGTGTGTTCTAGGGTGCCCCCCCGCCCCCGTATATAAAGGAGCCAGGGGGGAGGAGGCGGCCGGCCAAGGAGGGCGCGCCAAGGGGGAGTCCTACTCCCACCGGGAGTAGGACCCCCTTCTTTCCTAGTTGGAGTAGGAGAAGGGGGAAGGAGGAGGAAGAGAGGAAAGAAGGGGGGGCGCCGCCCCCCTCTTCTTGTCCTATTCGGACTAGGGAGGGGAGGGGGCGCGTGTTGGAAATATGCCCTAGAGGCAATAATAAAAGTATTATTATTATATTTCCTTGTTCATGATAATTGTCTTTTATTCATGCTATAACCGTATTATTCGGAAATCGTAATACACGTGTGAATACATAGACCACAATATGTCCCTAGTGAGCCTCTAGTTGACTAGCTCGTTGTGATCAACAGATAGTCATGGTTTCCTGGCTATGGACATTGGATGTCGTTGATAACGGGATCACATCATTAGGAGAATGATGTGATGGACAATACCCAATCCTAAGACTAGCACAAAAGATCGTGTAGTTCATTTGCTAGAGCTTTGCCAATGTCAAGTATCTCTTCCTTTGACCATGAGATCGTGTAACTCCTGGATACCGTAGGAGTGCTTTGGGTGTATCAAACGTCACAACGTAACTGGGTGACTATAAAGGTGCACTACAGGTATCTCTGAAAGTATCTATTGTTTTATGCGGATCGAGACTGGGATTTGTCACTCCGTGTAAACGGAGAGGTATCTCTGGGCCCACTCGGTAGGACATCATCATATGCGCAATGTGACCAAGGAGTTGATCACGGGATGATGTGTTACGGAACGAGTAAAGTGACTTGCCGGTAACGAGATTGAACAAGGTATTGGATACCGACGATCGAATCTCGGGCAAGTAAAATACCGCTAGACAAAGGGAATTGAATACGGGATTGATTAAGTCCTTGACATCGTGGTTCATCTGATGAGATCATCGTGGAACATGTGGGAGCCATCATGGGTATCCAGATCCCGCTGTTGGTTATTGACCGGAGAACGTCTCGGTCATGTCTGCATGTCTCCCGAACCCGTAGGGTCTACACACTTAAGGTTCGATGACGCTAGGGTTATAAAGGAAGCTTGTATGTGGTTACCGAATGTTGTTCGGAGTCCCGGATGAGATCCCGGACGTCACGAGGAGTTCCGGAATGGTCTGGAGGTAAAGATTTATATATAGGAAGTCCTGTTTCGGCCATCGGGACAAGTTTCGGGGTCATCGGTATTGTACCGGGACCACCGGAAGGGTCCCGGGGGCCCACCGGGTGGGGCCACCTGCCCCGGGGGGGCACATGGGCTGTAGGGGGTGCGCCTTGGCCTACATGGGCCAAGGGCACCAGCCCCTAGAGGCCCATGCGCCAAGATAAAGGAAAAAGGGAAGAGTCCTAAA